GCCGCCCCCTGCCCCTGCCCCCACCAGGACGCGGTGCGCATCATGGCCAAAGACCTGGTGCGCACCCGCCGCTACGTGCGCAAGTTCGTGCTGATGCGCGCCAACATCCAGGCCGTGTCCCTCAAGATCCAGACTCTCAAGTCCAACAACTCGATGGCGCAAGCCATGAAGGGCGTCACCAAGGCCATGGGCACCATGAACAGACAGGTACCCCGCCCCACAACCGTGCCCCCCCAGGCCCCTCGGGCTCCACTCACCACTACCACCCCCCCCTTCCAGCTCAAGTTGCCCCAGATCCAGAAGATCATGATGGAGTTCGAGCGACAGGCCGAGATCATGGACATGAAGGAGGAGATGATGAACGATGCCATCGATGACGCCATGGGTGACGAGGAAGACGAGGAGGAGAGGTGGGGGCGGTGGGTGGGCGGGCGGCATGGGGGCCAGCACCCCGCAGAATGGGCCTGGCCCTCACCCTCTGTCTCTCTCCCCCCAGTGATGCCGTTGTGTCCCAGGTGCTGGACGAGCTGGGGCTCAGCCTGACAGATGAGTTGTCAAGTGAGCGCCCCACATCCTGGCTCTGCCCAGGGCCCTCTCCAGCCAGCCCCACCTCATCCCCAGCTCTGCTCTGTACTTCTGCCAAGCAGCGCTTCTTCTCTGTTCCCCTGCAGACCTCCCCTCCACTGGAGGCTTGCTTAGCGTCACTGCCGGCGGGAAGAAAGCGGAGGCCGCAGCGTCCGCCTCCGCCCTGGTGGACGCCGACGCAGATCTGGAGGAGAGGCTCAAGAACCTGCGCAGGGACTGACCGGCCTCAGACCCAGCGAAGGTCCCTTTGCACTAGACCCTCCGCAATAAAAGATTGGACACTAGGCTCCGGAGACTGTGTGGCCGCATGTGGGGCAGGCGTCTCTCGGGCTGGGCTTAGGGACGCCACCCGCTGTTGACCCCAGCACCCCCTCACAGCCAGGTGAAATGCTCAGTCCAGAAGCTGGACCTGTGATCCTCTCACACACACACCCCCAGCCCTGTGGTGCCCACGCCAGGACACACCCAACCTCACCCTTCCCGACCCCCAAGCGGGGATGGGCTCAGCTGCTGCGTCTGCGCCCCACCCTCAGGCGACCAGAGGACTGATGGACCCTGGCACAACCACCCCACCCCACCCACAGGGCTACGTGGGAGGCTGGCACAGGCCGGTAGCCATCAGCCCCAAGAGAACTGGTGAAGTTTTTATTAAATCCACAGAAGTAAAAACCATATTGTGAGGGGCTGGGGTAGAGCCACCAAGGAGTGGGGGCCAGGCCACCAAGGGCAAGGGCGAGGGGGCTAAGGGGACAGCGGCGGGCCCCGCTCTCAGGGGCCATCGCCGGGGCCACTGGGAAGCTCTGGGGCGCTCAGGCCGGCACCGGGCAGGCTCAGTGGGGGGGGCTCCACCAGCACCGCTGAGAACTTGGTGTCGCCGAAGGCCTCGTTCATGCGGGTCTCAAAGAAGCGCTGCAGGCCGATGATGGACTGCACGTCCGCCTTGTCCTGTGCCGGCAGACGGAGGCGTGGGTACTGGCGCCGCCCCGCACCCCGACCGCTGCTGCGCGCAGGCTCACCTCCGTCAGCTTGTTGAACTGCTTGAACATGCGGCCCACGTCCTGCGCAAACTCCTGGGGGGAGCTGTAGGGGGGAGACAGCTTCTCCTGCAGACGGGCGCGGATCAGGGTCAGGTCCAGAGTCCCGCCGGGCTGGTCCTGTGGGCGGCGCGACGGGCGGAGGGTGAGCACAGGGCAGGCCCCTGCGCAGCCGCCCTCCTCCCTCAGGCCACGGCTCACCAGGGAGAAGGTGGCGTCGGTGGCCAGCTGGTGCAGGGGCCTGCAGGGCTCGTGGCAGAACAGGGCCAGCAGGACGCGCTCACACTTCTACGGCGGGGGCAGCAAAGGGGCGTCGAGGGGCAGCCGAGGCTGGGGCCGAGCCGCCCGCACCCCCAGGGGACCGGCCCGCACTCACCCGCTGGTTGGCAGGGGAGAGCTTGGCCACCACGCCGGCACTGTCCCCGCCGTCCAGGCTCAAGCTGCCATCCTCCTCCTTCAGGTCAGGCAGCACGTGGCAGAGGGAGCAGCTCCACTCCTCCCTGGTGAGCGCACGGTCAGGGCGCCCGGCCCCGGCCCAGCCCGGCCCCCCAGGCCCCGGCCCGGCCCCATACCCCGGCACGTCCTGCAGGGCGGGCAGGTGGCAGTCCAGGTGGAAGCAGAACTCGCACTGGTTGCACATGACCAGGTCGCCTGGCTTCTGGCAGACGCGGCAGATGGTGGCGCTGTCGTCCAGCGCCCCGGGGCCACCGGCGGGAGCGGAGGTGCCCTCTGGAGCCACCACCTCCAGGCCTGAGCTGGTGCTGCCACTGGGGGAGGCCAAGCGGGGGCCCTCGGCACCCGGCCCCTCCGCCATGGCCAAGAGCACCGGCTTGGTCTCCGGGCCCTCGGGGGCGGCAGGGGGCGCGCCGATGGCAGCCTCGGTCTCTTCCTCCTGCGAGGAGGACGGACGGTCAGCCGGGTCCAGGTGGGGCGACCGCATGTCCCGTCTGCGCCAGCCAGGGCAAGCTCACCTTCACGATGGCCATGCCAGGCAGGGGAGGGGCCCCAGGGGGCGCAGTCCCAGGCTGGCCTGCGGCCGCGGCGGCCGCCGCAGCCCCCCGCTCGATCACGATGAGGTTGTAGTCCTCGGTGGTGCTGCCTGGAAACACCTTGAAGACCGGCGGCTGACTGTCGGCTGTGAGGTCCAGGTCTAGGCGCTCGAGGCTCACGCGGGGCACCTTCCGCATGAGGCCGCTCACCTCACCCTCACCCGAGCGGGACCTGTGGGCACGGCCGGCGTGAGCACCGACGCCCACGCCCACCCAAGCGCCGCCAGAACACGGCCACACTCACCGCTTCACTCCTGACACGTGGGGCTCGGCGCTGGAGTAAGGGTCGTCTGCTGCAAAGCAAACAAGGGAGCCGGTCAGCGAGCAGCCCGCTGGGGGCGCCCCAACACCCGGGCGGGCCCCACTCACCTGCCCCAAAGCCGTAGCCTTCCTGGACTTCCATTGCCTGCGGGAGGGGCGGGGAAGACTCTCAGGCCGGAGCGCGTGAGCCCGCACCCCGCCCCCGCTCTCCTCCCGGGCGCCCCCACCCGCTCACCTGGCTGCTGCCAGAGCCCTGCTTGCTCAGGGGCCCCGGAGCCCGCGGAGGGGCCATGGACGCCGGCCCTGTCGAGTTGGCGCCTGGACGCTCCGCCACGATCTTGCCTGCGAAGTGCACAAGTTGGCCTCGTGTCAGGGAGGCCAGGGCCGAGGAGGGCGACGCCAGCGGCCAGGACCAGAACCCACCAAAGGCCTCCGCGCTCTTGGTCCAGGCGTTGAGGTCCCACTGGAACTTCATCTCCCCGTGGGGCTCCACGGGGTCCACGATCATCTTGAGGGCCCGGTGCAGCTGGAAGTAGATCTGCAGCGGGAGGTGAGCACACGGCGCGCCGGGGCACGAGGCCCCCCCGAGCCCAGCAGCCCCCGCACGCACCAGCTTCTTGGAGAGCAGAAGAGCCGTGTTGTTGTCGCTCTCCAGCGCCCAGGAGGCGAAGCGCAGGATGTGCTCCTGGTGCTTCTGGATCTTGGTCATGGTCCAGTGCTGCCGCTCCAGGCGCTCCTGCTGCCCCTCTGTCACCTTCTGCAGGTGGCGGGAGGTGGGTTTCAGGAGCGGGGCGGGGACGCTCGACGAGGTCCCCGCGGCCACCCAGGCCCCAACAGCAGCCGGCAGAGGCATGGCACCTGGGCGTCGTTGACCAGCACTCGGCCCCGCTTATTCAGCTCCTTCATGATCTGCAGGATGGCCATCTTGACGTCCACCTGCACCCGTTTCTGGACATCAGACACCTGGCGGATTCTGGAGAGGAGACGGGGCGCTCGGGCACCCTCGAAGGAACTGGGCGGACACCGCCCTCGGCCACCCGGCACCCACACTTACGAGCTGCGGACCTCCTTGGTGTTCTTCTGCAGCGTCGCGTGCTTGTCCCCGAGGCGCTTCACCAGCGAAGCCAGCAGCTTGCGCTGGTTCCTCACGGCGTCCTCCAAGAACTGGTACCTGGAGACAGGCAAGGCCAGTCAGCCGGGGCGCTGACGGAGGGGCCCGCAGGAGCAGCCCCCTGCCCCTCACTCACTGGTGGTCCTTGTGGGCGTTGAGCTGGCAGTCCCGGCACGTGAGGGTGTCACAGCTCTCGCAGAACAGCACGAGGGGCTCGTGCTTGTGCACGCTGCAGTACACCGTGCGCTCCCCGTCCCTTGCCTTCGCCGGCCCTGTGGACGGAAACCCAGCGGACCTCGACCCTGGCCACCGCCGACTGAGTGGCGGACAGAACGAGGGGCCTCTCTCCCTGCCTCTGCTGCAGCCCTGCACTGTCTGCCGGGAAGACCCTGAGGGCCCCGAGGCCGTGGCCGAGGAGGAACACAGGCCTGAAGACCAGACCCCTGTTCTCGAGACCCTGTCCTGGCCGACCTGGGCCGAAAATCCGCCCCCAACGTCCAGCTTCTAGAAATGAGTGTGTGAACGTCCAGCCAGCGCGCTCGGGCAGGAGACCTCCCCCTGCTGCAAGCTTTCAGGTGGGAACGGGAGCGCTCCACCTCCGAACCCCCCGCTGGGCTCCCTTTCTCCTCCACTCACAGTAGGCTCTGTCCAGCAGGGGAGGGGACTCTGGCTACTGTGGCATCCCAGCACGCAGGAAATTTGCTTTCTGGCACAGACAGAAAGCAAATCAGGGCCTAGAGATACCATCCAGACGCAGTTTCCTCAGAAGCCAGGCCAGGTGACCCTCTCCTGTCTGGCAAGGAAAGGCCACGGACCTCTTAAAACCCGTGGCCCCACCAAGGGCCTTGCGGGGCCTTCTCAGGCAGGGAGAGAGGCAGAGTCGGGGCTTTTCTGAGGGCCAGGGACCGGTACCCGGATTTTACGGCCCCGAGGCCAAAAGGCCGCAGCCGGCGCGCCTTCCTGGACCGTCACCGTCTATCACCGTCAAACACTGGGCCGGGCCACGCACGGGCGTCCGGCTCCCCGGGCCGGTCAGCCTTTCCTACCCCGGCGGCCTGCTGACAGCCCAGCCCTGCACCTGGACTTGGCCTGGAACTCCGGTGGGCCAGGGCCGCCCAGCGCTGGTGGAGGCCGCCTGTCCGCAGTGCCTGCGCCTCACGCTGCCCCACACTGTGTTGCTCGGGGTGGAGAGCCGACGCAGGCGGCAGGGGCCGCGGCAGGGGCCGGCTGCGGGCTCAGCCTCCCGCGCACAGCGAGTGCCCAGGCACCGACACACCCAGCTGGCAGCTGAGCCCCAAAGCTCCCCCCTCCGGCCCAGCGGGGGTCGGGGTGGGGCAGCCCTCAGGCCGCCGCTGCCCATAGGTATGCAAAGGCTGCGCTTCCTGCCCCGCCG